CCCCAAAACCCCAAAACCCCAAAACCCCAAAACCCCAAAATGGTGATTCATTATTGAAAATTATAATAATCTTGACTGTGACCCAGCTAGTTTAGTCACAATTGGTCCCAAAAATTTATTCTCTGAGGCAGAATTCATTCTTGGTTTTGAGTACTTCTTTGCAGATGGTCTTGGGGGAAGGAACTTCTTCGATGCCATACCTGCTGTAGGCGGTCTAAATGACTTCTGTGTCTTCACAGGACGGTATTTTGCAGTCAAAGCTCTATTTGGCCTTGGGATACCGTTATAATTCACTCTTCTCATTCTGCCTATTGCTGGAATCGGTTGTTTACCGCTAAAAGAGTCATGCACGCTGAGGTTAAAATTAGTCCTCGAGTTCCTTCTCTTCTCAACTCTCGGCTTCACTAACCTTAAGCGGTTAATCATAGCAATGAGCGAATTAGACAAAATGCCCTGCTCATGCTTATCATTCATCAAGTCCTTCACCGTCATGCTGAAGTACTTAGACAAGCTATCAAATTTCTGGACTAGATATGTAGAATAGGCTTGGCTCGACTGAGTATTACTCCTCTTATTCCTCCCATAAGAGCTACGGGCCCTTTTCCGTGCTTCTATACCAAGTTATAGCTAGCCTTACTGTGAGTCTGGTTGATAATGGACGAAATTGGCATATTCATCGTCTTCAAGCCCTCAAGTTGTTCGAAGTTTATCACTGGTGCATCTTTGTCCTTGAAAAATACAAACTGGTTCTTGATATTATCAAGTATGCCTTGGAAGTAATCTATTAAAATATCTTCAGTTGACTTCTTCTTCACAGGACCATTGATACTAGAGATTGACTCGTTTGGCTTCGTACTAGATCTAGTACTCATATTACTATCGTTAATAGAAATTCCTCTGTATCTCATTGCATTCGCAGCAGAGTCTGGCCGCTGCTTAAGTGGGCGTAGCTTGGCTTCTAGATCTAGGAAATGCTTGTTGGTATTACAGAATACTGAGTCCTCTATCTGAGGTTCAAAGAAATTATTAATCCCCATATTTGTAGCGGAAGTTTCCTTCTCTTCTTCTTGCTGTTTGATATTATACAGAAAGTCATAAGTCAACTTGTTAGAGTTATTTTGATTGCTAAAGAACTTGAAATATTTATCAGTGCCCTTTGAAGGAAAAATTCTGGTGAAATCACCCATTCTTTGATTTTCCATGATTGTATCTCTCAAAACTTCCTTTTTATTTATGCGAAACTTTCTTAAAAATGTCATAAATCTGTCCTTCAGAGAGTTTAAGATTGTTCTCAACCATATCATTAATAATTCCTCGGGTTTCTTCATCAATTGATAATTTTTCTGTATCAGCCATACTTCTGGTATGAATCTCATCTTTGTTTAAGAAGCCTGAACCAAAAATCTCAATAGGTGCTTTAAGAATCTGGGCTGGAGTAGGAAGTTGACTAAACTGTGGCCCTTTTGTTAAGTGGTTCAGTCCAGCTCTTGTCCTGCTTTTAATCTTCTTTCGCGCTTCTTCTTTTCTATCAAACTGCTTTATTCCTACAAGGTTGAGGGTCTCATAGATCAATTTTGATTTTATTTTAAAATCTAGTGGAGCATCACATGCGAGTGAGGGGGATAGGTTAATCTCCATTACCCAAGGTTTGTAGTTGCTATCTATCAGCACATCGAATCCAAAGAGCTCGAATCAAGTGCCTCTATGCTCCAAGTTCCTCTTAACGGCTGAAGAAATATGTTTCTCTCCTGAGATGATTGATTTGATTATGATATCAGTAATTCTTTTCCATAATTTACTAGTGTCACAACCAATACTATCAAGGTGTTTGATAAGGGCAGTAAGAGACCATTTGGAGCCATATCCATCATCCTCATCATTTGTGTTCTTAATGAACTTTGCATTCTTCTTGTTAATAGAATAATTAGTTAGATGCATGAACTTGTTCTTGAGAGATTTATCCAAGTTGTACTTCTCACTTCAGAATCGAGCAAGTCCTTCTTTATACAGGTAAATTCTTAAAGGGTTAAATGAGGTTACTAGTACGTAGAGTCTCAAGTCGAACTTATGGTTGTTGATGAGCAGAGGGTTTGAGATATACTTACTCACAACACATGGAGACTCCATGTTTACCTGTGCCGGATCATTGACTAGATAAATCCCTCGACCTCTTGAGAGAGCATTAGCTTTGACAATCCAGATATTTTCAGTAGTTTTCTCGTTGTTTTCCCTCTTTTTGAAGCTATCAAAGAAATTTCCGAATTCTCCAGGAAGGACATAAGTTTCTGGGATTATTTCAAATTCCTTTCTTCCGAACTGAGTTATCATCGTATGTACATTATTCGCAAAGTTATTTTTACGAGTGATCTCATAAGAGGAAGGAAAATGATTTACTTTCTGGTACTCATTAAGACCTGTATATAGATAGGGTTTGCCAATAGAATTAGTCCATAGTATATTCCAGTCATGCCCTTGAATTTCTTCAAACTCATGAGCTTGAAGGATGGCCTTCACAATCTTAGAATCAGCATGTACCATTTTAAATTTTAAAGTCCAGTTTTCCCCTTTATAGATATCCTTTGGGTTCCTTCTACTAGAATAGCACCTGCGTGACTTCTTGGTTTTATTTTTAGAACCCCCAATAGAATTGTGCCTATAATCTGCCAACTCAAAGAGCCCTCTATCATGGGCATCTGCCTGTGGTGGAAGCAGGGCTTCTGCAGCATTTGACATCATATCTGCTCTATCAATCTGCCTAAATCTAACATACCCAGAAGGAGTTAGACTCCAGTCCTCAAGTGTTGTTCCCTTCCTCTGGCTAGTAGCATAAGCCAGGCCTTGCGTACCTACAAGCCCTGATGTTTGGTTTCTCATCATTTTATAAAGAAATATTCCCCTCTCAATAAAATTTAAAATATCAGGGGTTTTGGGGTTTTGGGGTTTTGGGGTTTTGGGGTTTTGGGGTTTTGGGG